CGGCCTTATCATCATAGTCAAATCCAAACTCAGCTTCCCATGCAATCTTTTTTGCTCTCATATTTAAAGCCTTCGATGCATTGATTGCCGTACTTCTATCTACTTTAATTCATTTTGCCAATTTCAACTATGCTTCAAATTTTTTGTATTTTGGTTTATTTTCTTCTTTTTTCTACTCTATTACCTTACATTTTAACTTAATTTTCTATTTTTCTTTGTATTATACAATTTTTTTGCTCTTACTCTTTAGATCTACTTTTACTTATTTTTCTTGCCCTTTCTAAAACTCTATTTCCTCGCCTGTTTTTATCATTCTATTTCTTTGCTAAGTACAGGTTTGTCTGACTTAACTTTTTTTTTACCTTTCTTCAACCTGGTCATTTGTCTGACTATAAGCGTCAGCCTGTTGGGATCGCCACTGGCGCCACATCGAGCCACTCGACCAGCCAGATGTACAATCCTGATCCGATCTGCCCATATCCCTCTCCTATGCTGCACGACGACCTAGCCACCCAACGCAGTGCCTCTTTTCAGCCTCTCACACTAAACAGTGGCGTCAGTTATAATGAAAGAAGCATTAGCGGTAACACCAGCAGTAATACCAGCAGCTTAAGTGCCGTATACCAATCGCGTGTTGGTGTATCTTCTTCTCCCTTAGTTGTCCAGGCCTCCTACATCCCTCAGTCTAATTTTCTCACTACAAACTCCTCCGAGTCTCATTTGGTTTCCACCTCACCTATTCCTTCAGCTGTTATTGTCACTAACCTGATTACCTCGCCTGGCCACTTTCAAACTCCAATCAATTCATTTGCTTCCACCTCTGGCAGCACAACTAAGACAGTTGTTACCACTGGTCAGCCTTCTGCCACTAAATTAGCGGCAACTATTGCCCCAACGACTGGTGTCCATATCAATCAGACTAACCTGGGTCATCCGCTTGCCTTAGTCTCTGGGCCCCTGACAACTCTGGAGGATGGCAGTAATCTCAGACAGGCTGGGCATCGCACATCCCCTCTTACCTCTTTTTCGGTCTCTCCATCCATCATCGCTATTGCCAGTGGAAGCTTGTCCAATTCGACTCCATTTACTTCGGGAGTTGTCGACCGGCAGAATCCCACTTCATCTAGTAAGAATGCTTCAAGCTACGTTTTTGAGATCTCCATTTTATTAATTCATTTTATTTTGTGTTTTTAGTTCCAATGAATTCATGAGATCCCCTTTTTTACGTATCTCACTTCCGAGTTCTCCTTTTTATTAATGTCGCCTCTTAAATTCTTTCTAAATAATCCCTCGATTTATGTGCTCGTTTGAGACTGGTTTTAGCTTCGCTTGTAATTATTTTGCATTATATATATTTTTCCATGCAGCATTAAGATACGAAGAGTAACTGGGTCTCGACGAATCTCCTGAGATAATATTGTCGTATAAAAGCGTATAAAGTAAAGATTCGAAGGTCGATCTCAACAGAAGAGGACGGCTGATTTATCTTATCCTGTAGCCGTTTGACTTTAATACGATGT